GATATTACTATGTAAAAATAAGGCTAATTTTGTCTTCTTCTAGCCCCAGTCATTTTCATTTTTCTTTTATAAACTACGATTGTAAATTTTTATTTTTGGCAAATACATAGAAACATTATTATCTTAGATATATGTGCTTTTGTTAAGGAAAGATATTTTTAAAACAAAGAAAAGAAAGAAGCAAGTTTTTATTCAGTTTATATACCCAAGACTTCAAATTTTCTTCGTTTATATACTAAAAACTTTTTTATAAAAAAGACTCTAATCACAAATACTTTTTAATAATGCGTATTATTTTTTTATTTCTAATAACAGTACTAACAATGAGTAATTATACATCTAATGTGTAAACTAGACATAATTTAACAACTAAATTGTCTAATTTTGTTAGAAAAGGTAAAGAGTTTGTTTTGTCAGAGGTACCCACAAAAAGATCAGTAATTCAAATGGGTATTCTTCTAAAGGTTAGCTTTTATTTTATTTTTTAACTTCTAAAATATTTTTAAAAGTTATTATATCAAAAATATATATTGACTTTATATAAATTATTTGTGACAAATAACTAAATCTATATCTACCTTTTAGGAAAAAAAAGAAATAGAATTTGAATGTAGAAAACATAATTTTGCTACAAAAGAACTAAGCAGAGAACTTGCTAAACTGGTGACAGCTCAATGGTTCAAAGCAAATAGTCTGTTTAAACCATCAGTTACAATTTCGGAAAAATCACTCGCGGAAAAAATAGGGAGACTATGGTTTAAAATATCCAAGTTTTTAAAAAACGAAAAACCATCTAAAGAAGCAACCAACAAAATAACTAATGACCTTGATAGTCTCTTTGATATCATATCATGTACTCATACAACCATTATATGCACAGAGACAGCATCATTTTGCAACGATCCCGAAAACTGCAAATTAGGTGCACATGTTGATTGTTCATGCCCTCTATTACAAAAAATTCCTGTACTTGATCTTCTTTGACTTCGTAAGCAGAGGCTTAAAAAAAAAGAGATTTCTACTATGCAAATTGGTTTATGTGATTATAAAGAACCGGTTCGCCTACAGAAAAGAGAAAAAAGGAAAAACATTCAGAAAGAAGCTAAAAGAAAAAGGGAAAAAAAAAAAATGAAAAAAAAAATGAGTTTGATAAATTTCAGGTTAGCTAAACTACCATGAATATAATTCTTTAATTGTTTTAAAACATTCCTTACCGCAATCTAAGAAAGACTTTAAAACTAACTTTTTATCGTTTAATATATATTTAACTTTTTTAAATTTAAAATTTATATATTCTATCTTATATAATATTACTTACCAATATTGGTAAGTAATAATATTATATTATAGAAACTGCATGTTTAAACAATTTAGAATCCTGAAATAGTTTTCAATCTGCTGGAAGAAAACAACAATGGTATTGATGATACTGATGATACATACAATGTAAATACTGCACAACTAAAAAACAAAACAAAAACTTTGGTTGACAAGTTGCTTGAAGAAAAACTAGGAAGATTGGCATCACTGGTTACAAGATACTAAAAAAAACCAAGTTTAAAGCAAAACAAAATGACCATAACACATGCGGCATCAGCTGCAATAAGATATAATATTTCTAATGTTGGTGCGGCAGCTATAATCACTGGTATAATAAAAGATTTTATAGCTGCAGGTTATCTTTCTCTTGATATGTTATACCTTTCTGTTGACCCTAATAAAATGTGAAGGGCTAAGAATAATGTAATGAAAGAAAATACAATTATTGAAGCTAATAAATGTAGTAACAAAAATATAATTGGAATTGTTTATGATGGAGGAAAAGACTAGACCAAAATGTTAATTCCAGATAAATACGAAAAACTTCACCTTAGAGTCATAAAAGAGGAGCATATAAGTGTAACTTGGGAGCCAACTGGACGTTATCTTGCTCACATTATGCCAGAACTTGCCTTTCATCCAAAAAAAACCTGCAAAAAAGATAGCTGAAGCACTCTATAAGGTGCTTGAAAAAAACAATGCAACTGAGTCATGCATAATAATAGATGGAGATTCAACAAATATCAACACAGGATGGTCAGGGGGAATTCATGTCCATCTTGAAAAAATGTTAGGAAATAGATGCTATTGGGCGATTTGCATGAAACATTCAAATGAACTCAAGCTACGACAACTAATTATATCCCTTGTGGTCTGACAAGTAGCAAGGATGGATTTTAAGTATGTAAATGATATGACAATAAATGATAATTTTACACCCCTGCCAGATGGAGAGGAACTTCCAAAACTTGACGAGAATAGCATAAAAAGCTTATCTACTGATGCTTATATCAGTTACAGATATGTAAATATTATCAAGTCAGGAAAACTTTTTCCGGATCTTGCAAATCTAAAATGTGGATCACTGTCTTATTCTCGCTGGCTTACAACAGGTATGGCTTCGATGTTTTTGTGGACAAGAAATCATAACCTTAAATACAGTGAGCTGGAGATCTTGAAGATAGTAGTTCAGTTTTGTGTCAAAATGTATTTCAAACTTTACTTTAAATTTCTTCCAAACATCTGCTGGAGGACGGGCCAAGACACATCTTGCTTGAACTTAAAATACTTAAGACACTCCAAGTCAATGTGGCGAATATAACTACATCTTATATACGAACTGGGGCTTGGTACAGCCATAGTGAGTGTATTCTGGTTTCACTCTTGACTAGCTCTAATAAAAATGAAAGAAAGTTTGGTGTTGATAAGGTTTTACAAATTAGAGGAAATAATGAGCTTGGAGACACTGCTGTTTGAAAAAGAATATCTCTGAAAATTAACCTTGACGCTACTATTCTTCAAGAATTAATTTCTTGGAATGTAAAAGATTGTTAAAAACCAATATTTACATGTAATCTTTCAATGAATTGAAAGATTACTGTAAATATTGAAAAATTGAAAATTCCTTGAAAATTCCTAAATTCAGCATTCACACTCAAGCAACAGAACGCTGCGTCAAAAGCGTGACAAAAGCATCTGCATTGTTTACGGCCAAGAAAGAAGAGATGGATTTGTTAGAACAAGAATGATACACAGGGAAGAAATTCCCACCTTTAAATCAAAGAAAGATGTTCTTGAAATAATTTAACTAAGAAATAAAACAAAATTGTATATTTTGTATTTTTTTCATTTTTTATTCAAAACTTAAACCTGTAAAATTTGAAAACTATTTCAAATGAGAAGTACTTTTTTTAATAAAATATTTAACAAAAAATAGTTTTGAAAAGAGTTTTGAACCTTTTAGCAAGTTAAAAAATATGAGGTTGAGTAATTTTTAGATTAAAAATTCTTTTCCCTACATTAGAGACGATGACATAAATTCATTTGCTCAGAGGTAGGCCAGGGGGTTTGGGCGGGGAAGGGTGTTCCTAGGCTCTCATCATTAAGAAAGTTTAATCAGTTTCTGACAAAACAACGCTATTTGACATAAGTATAAAAATAAAATAATTTAGAGTTTACACTTTTCTAAAAAAAATTAAAATGTTATAAATAATGATATAATGCATATCTAAAAGTGTCAATTGTACTACCAAAACGTTTTCAAATTAAAAAATACTAAAAGGAAACTCAAATTAAAATTTAATTTTACATAAGAATATGAGTACACGTTTCGAAAAATAGTGATTTTCATAAATTATGGTACCAAGCGATGCACCTTAATGTACATCACTTGAGCAGTGATCATGGTAGTAGTTGTAGAAAATAGAAAAAGATGCAATCATATGACAAATAAAACGGGAACACAAGCTTGGAAGCTAGAGCAGGTTTAACTACATTTACAATGTGTTTTTGGATTATGTCTAAAGGTAAATGAACAAAATTAAAAGAACCCAAATATGACAACAGTATTCCATAGAAGGATGAATAAGAGATTTATAAAGCTCTAGAATGGAATAAAGAAAAAGAAAACAAGATCACTGCGCTGCCTCAAAAGAGATATCACACTCAAGATTGGATATTTTTCCCAAGCAATTAAATTTTCACACCTTTTGTGACCTAAGTATATGCTTGCCTCATCCAGAAAAAACCACTTTAAAGGTAAGATTATTGGAAAGATCATTAATATATTGAGTATCAATGCCAGTCTATTGATAACAAAGGAGTGCAAGACTGGCCTACAAAAATGTTCAACTTACCCCTAAAGTTTTTGCCCAGGAAGTTTTTGCCCAGGAAGATCTTAATATCCGGCTATAAGACAGTAGCCGGATATTAACATCTGCCAAAGACAAATATTTTTATCAAAACACCATCTCTAGCCTAAATTCAGTCAAAAACTCCAAGGCAAGGTGTATTTTAAGTTAGAGTTGTATAACACATTGCGAGACATCTGCCAGGTTATACTTAATTAGATAATACCAGTAGCTGTGTGATCATGATGATTTCAATCCTGATTTGACCTGTAATATTTAATTTATATTATTAAAGGTAAAGGTGCTACTTTAAACCTAAAGCAACAGGTTCATCTCAATTCTGATTAATGATAAAAAGAGTTTCTATGCAAGATTTATTACATGATAAATAATAAAAGAATTTTACACTTAAACAAACTTCAATAATTTGATCAATACAAGCTAATCAAAACCCATTTTTTGTTAAATTTATTGAATGATATCCATAAAAAAAAATCTGTTGATTTCTTTGCTTTCTTCTCTTTTAATATTTTCAGAAACTTTTTTTTTTATAATACAATTTGTTAATTTAATAAAATTAAAAAAAAAATAACAATGTAGTAAGAAATATAATAAAGACATAAACAAAAATTTAATAAAGTTTGTTTAATAAATGAGTTAAACCTAGGGTTAAAAAAAAATTAGCTTTGGCTTGAGCCAGGTTAGTTATTATGTTTTTTATCTAGAACAATTTCAAAAAATCAATACTAAAATCTTATTATTTATACTATGTATGGTTTTAGTTTTAACTTAATAAGAAATTTGAAACTAAGCATAATTATAAAACATTACCTTGTTTATCAGAGTGGGCATTGCTTCTTCCAGTAGACAAAAAACCTAAAGGGGACAAAGAGACTCCACAGTTAACAGGTGATATATTAAAATTGGGACTTGTGACAAATGATCTTGAGTACGGTTCAATTTTCAATGTATTTTTTAACATTTCAGGAGAGTGGAAGTTTGATCTATTATTCATAGGGAGAACGTTTTGAAGAACATTAATATCAGCTTGCAGTCCTGCAGCTTTTATCTGCTTCATTTTTGTTTTGTACATTTCAAAATATGAGCTGTTTGACTCTGATCGAAGGAAAGCTTGATCATTATCTAAGTCATTCTCAAATGATTTGTTTTTTTCACTTTGTTTTTGCTTTAAATTTCGAGTAGTCAATAAATCAGATAATTTATGATCAACAACTTCGTTCGATATCTATTATAAATAAAATGAAAAATATATTTATTTTTTGTGGTTATTAACTTGGTGGTTTTTGTTTAACTTATATATATACACACAGATTCATATATATATATATATATATATATATATATATATATATATATATATATATATATATATATATATATATATATATATATATATATATATATATATATATATATATATATATATATATATATATATATATATATATATATATACATATATATATACATACATATACAGGCTTTGCCAGGAGGGTGTGCGATTTCAGATCTTTATATGACCTGAAATTGCAAATTTTTATTAAAAAATTGGTTTTTAATTATGTTGAAAATAACTAACTTCGACACGTTATAATATTAGCAAAATGCTTTTAAATAAAGTAGCTAATGATTTTAATTAAAGTATCATTGAAAGTTGTAATATAAATTTAAATTCATATTTATTTAATATCAATTATATAAGATTTTTTATGAGTAAAAGAAAAAAAATTTTTTTTTTTATATAAGTGACAACTTTAAACAGCTATGGTCTCTTTAATAAACTTTATATAAGATATTAAAGTTTAATTCACTCGAAAAAGTAGAAAGAATTTGTTGAGAAGAAAAAAAAACTAATTTTTTTGAAAGCTGTTTGAATTAAATAACTTTGATTTTTACTTATGTTTTTATATTATTGAAACGCAATTAGATAAAGTAACAAATTACTGCCTATGATTTTTTTTATAAAAATATTAATGAATAATATATATATATATATATATATATATATATATATATATATATATATATATATATATATATATATATATTAATAAGAAAACATCAAATAATACGAATTCTCTTAATACAAATGATAATTTATTATTAGAAATTTTCGCTGGATTATGGTTACCAGCATCATCAGCTCGTAAAAATTAATACAAAATTTTTTAACGTTTAAAACAGTTTAAAATTAACTGACGTCAGCAATTGAATGGCTTCTTTCTTGCTTACGTAAAAATGTAAAAAACGGAGTCCAAAATTTAGTTTTAACAAATTGCCCATTATCTAGATTAATGCCACCAATTAAAGGAGAACATTGATACCTCTGTATTTCAAGAGCTTCGCGCACTTTTCGATCAAACTTTTTTGTTTCCACTTTAATTGTTTTAACATCCTCCCACTTTATTTCTTGTGAGCAAAACTTATTATGGGTGGCTATTGCCGACTGATAATGTTTCCCCTCGTTTAAACTTTTTTGATGTTGTTGAATTCGAGTCCTAATTTGAAGTTTGGCTTCGCCTACGTATCTCTTTGAGCATTCACATTCAATTAGATAAGTTCGGGGTTGACTATTTTGTGGCAATTTAGTTTTGTTTTTTGATGTTAAAATTGTTCTTAAATTAGGATTTGATTTGAAGACTACTTTATAGCCAACTTTCCAAAATATTTTCCTTAATTTTGGGGATAGTGATGGTATCCACGGTAATGATACAGTAGGGAGATCCTCTTAATCTCCCTAGTAAGAGATCCTCTTAATCTCCCTAGTTACTTAGTAAGTGTATATATATATATATATATATATATATATATATATATATATATATATATATATACATATATATATATATATATATATATATATATATATATATATATATATAAAATTTATATTTATATAAATATGTAATTTTTATTATTATAGTATGTCATTAAATAAATAAAAATAAACTTTTTAAATAAACAATTTAATTATTTTTTCTGTTGTTTACGTTACTGCGAAGAATTGTTAAGAATCTTTTTTTTAACTTTTAAATGTATATATTAAACAACTTTAAGCGCATTTATTAAAAAATCATTAGATGTAAGTAGTTACTTTATTCAAAAATGTTTTCCATAATATTATAAAAACATTAGTAAAGATCAACAATTCAAAGTTATTTATTTCAAACGTAATTTAGATAATCTTGTCATTATAGTTTATTTTAGTCATGTTTTAATTTCATTTTTTTAATCAAGTTTTAGTTAAGTTATTTTATTCTTCGTTATTTTTTTTACCAAGATTTATTTGGTTTTTTACAATAAGTTTTCTTTTAAGTTTTTTCATAGTTAACAATTTTATCAGCGTGTTTTTAAAATGCATACAAATTTTCAAAACATATTAACAGCCTTGGTCAAGTTTTTAAAATTAAATAGTATTTGTGTGGTCATATTATGACATGAAATTGCACGTATTCTTGGCTAAGCTTGCATGTATATAAAAAATATAATGCAAAACTAGTGTCCCTTCTAGCATGTTTGACACATAACTCTTGGCAGCCATTGCAACTGAGGTGATGGTGAAAATGAGTCGCAATTATGTAGTGTTAAAACATTGAAACATATATCAAGTTTTACTGTTTTACTTTTACTTGAAAACTGCATTGCGGCAACATCGCCTTAATTTTGATTTAAGAAATTTATTTACTGTTTTATAAAGTTTCATTTGAATTGCAGCCCTTTGCTTGCAGAGCTTCTGAAGCAAAGCACTGTGGTTCAAACCCTACCACTGGCACCTTTAAAACGTATGCAAAGCAAACATTAAGTATGAAAGAAAAGTAGAGGAAATAGAGATGGATGATGCTAGTGTATATTCCATTAACATGAATGATGCAAACTCAGAGATTTATGTAAAAATAAATAATTACAATATAAAAATGCAAGTTGATACCCGAAGTCAGGAAATCATACCTAAAATATTTTGGAAACTAATTTCTAAACCTAAATTAAAAAAATGTTAACTCCAACTGAAACAATTTGATGGTACAATTATTCAAGTCCTAAGCAAATTTGAGGCAAACATGGAGTCTAAAGTGAATATTGCACAATTTATTGTTGCAGACTGTGCAAAGAATTATGGTTAAGTGGTTGTATTAAACATTAATGCAACAAAACTAGTTAATAGTATAGAAACTGTTGTTCATAGGCGTTTAATTAATTGCAAATATCCTGTTAAAAAACGGCATACAACTAACTCATTTTGAATCTTGACCTCTTCTTATTCACATAAGACCACTAGTGATAGATCAATGAATTGATACAGCAACGGTTGCTCCAAAGGGTTACTCCTGGTGGGAGCAAATGGGCATCACCACTTGTGGTTGTCAGAAAAACAGATGGAGATTTATGCATGTGTGAAATTACAAAATAAGTGTTGACCAAAAGATATACTCAGATTCATACCCTATTCCAAATACTGAGACTGTATTTCATAAAATGTCAGGAATAAAATATTATGTTAAAATTGATCTCAGGGGAGCTTATCATCAAATAAGAATGGACAAAGAGGCACAAGAAATAAAAACAGTTAATACTCTTATCGGATTACTAAGGACATGTTTACCGTTTGGAATAAAAACTGCAAGTGCGATATTCCAAAGAGCAATAGAACCTGTTGATCGTAATATTATTCCCAATATGATTATATTTCAAGATGATATATGTGTTTGTCTTAAAAATGCTGAAGAGCATAAAATCAAATTTGAGTAAAATTTGAGCTAATAGAAAGAATCCAGGATGAGTATAAATAAAAGAAAATCAGTGAATGAAACAAAAAGTCTTTCGTTTTTAGGATAATAACTGTCAGAAAAGGTAAGTAACCCTGGTTTGTAACTTAGTCAGCAAATTACTCAAAATAAATCTCGAGTCATTTATAGGACTAGTAAACTTTTATGATCAACAAATTGAAAAATATGCAGAAAAATTTTTACCTTTAAATAATTTAAGGAAGAAAGGTGTTACATTCGAGTGGAGGAAAAAACATCAACATGCATTTGAGTTGCTAAAAAAGATTTTTTGCAAAGGACCTGTGGTAAAAGTTTATGACATCAATCAAGATATCATAAACTTTTATGATCTTGTAATACTTTCACAAAATGGTCATCCTATATTGCATCTCTCATGATCTTTATCAAACACTAAGACAAGATATTTAATATAAGGAGAAAACATTGGCTATTGAACTCACAGAGCAAGACATTTTTTGTTAGGTAGGAAATTTAAATTGATAGCAGATCACAGACCATTAGAGTTTATATTTGATTGTAATGAAGAATTGTCTAAAGTGACATCTGCTAGAACTTTTTGATGGGCCCTGCAAATGATGGCACTTGACTACAAATTAGCTATAACAAGGGAGAAAACATTCCTCATGCTGATGCATTATCGAGATTGTCTTTTCTACCACAGATGAAGAAAAGGACCAAGAAACCTTTATACACTGAGTGAAGGATATTGTGAATCTTGAGCAGATAATAAAAAAAACAGAAAATTGATGGATATCAGAATTAGCAAAAATAATTGGAGCAGGTGCTCTGTGGCAGAAAGACCTTATAAATTAATAGGAATAAATTGACTATTGAAAACTAGCTGAGATCAGACCCATAAAAATACAGGTCTTTGTAAATCTATTCCAAACTGAACTTTTCTATACTTTTTCCTTATATATCCTAGCTTTCCGGATCCGTTAAATACAGGTCTTTACCAATTTACATATCTATTCCTCACCAATTATTTCTATACCTATTCCTTTTTTACTTCAATATTTTTTAGTAAAATAATTTATTCTGAAAAAAAACTTTAAGAACAAAAAACTTAACATGCACACCTTTTCCGCATACGTAGAGCTTATAGGAGACTTATAATTAGGTTCGTTTTTCTGCTAAATGCATTTTATTGATAGCTCAGTGGTTAAGTGCGCTGTCATCAGGGTTGTTTTGGAGGGTTTAAGACCTCTTAGCGTAATAAATTTTGAAATTTTTTAAATCTTGCTTATATATTTATAGCAAAAAAAAAATTATATAGCAAAAAAGATTTCTAAAATTTAAAATAAAAATTTTAAAGTTTTCTCTTTTATAAATATATAAGATAGTATATAAAATAAAATTAAATTGAAAAATTTTTTTTAAAGTTTTCTCATTTTATAGATATATAGGTATACACAATTATTCTATATAATGCCTGCAAACT